GGGACTTGAACTTGAACAACATAACAATGGACTATGCTTGGACTTGGAGTAAGCTTGAACTTGAAATTGAACTGAAGCAGAGGACTCGGACTTGTATTTGGACACAAGATGAACTATAAAAATATTTGAAATGAAATTGAATATGAACTTAATCTCAAGACAAGGAGCTCACACTTGAACTTGCAAATGACTACAAGAACTCAAACTTGAATCAATTTTGGACATTATGGAACTTCAATCAAACTCAATCAAGAAGAACTTGATTTGGGCTCAGACTTGAATTGAACTTAACAAGATTATTTGTGGACTTAAATCTTGAACTACAACAAGGCTTGGATTTGAATCTCATTTGACTCAAAAGAGTCATGATTCGAATCATTTGAACTCAAACTTGGAGCAAAACTTGAACTAGACAAACTCAAACTTGAGTTTGGACTTGACTTTGATGGTGACCCAAAGAACTTCAAATGAACCATATAAGATCTAACTTGTATAGATTACAAGTGGTAAGCTCCAACTTAAATGCAAAGGAACATATATGAGAGACTTCTGATTCCTACATCCCATTCCAACCAATGTACTTGCATTCAAAATATGAAGCTCTCAATTGAATGTGGAAGGACCTTCATGTTAATTAGAATGCAAATGTCACTAAGCAATAATTACCTATAAAATGAAGAGTGATTGCAAGCAATGCTTGATGATGGATAAAATTCTCTAGCTCTCATTCTTAAACGTTGACCATGCAACAAGGATCAAATGGAGAAATGCAAAAATATCCTCATGCTTACAACACAAAGTCTTTAATGAGCATTCGTCATTTCAATGGAGAAGCCAATTCATCACGCAAGATTCAATCTAATCAAGTGAATTGAATCAAATAAGCAATGGAGGCTTATGTTGAATGAAATTTTCAATGTTGATTAGTAATGACTTGCAATGCTAGAAGATTTATAATAGACATTTGCAAGATCATTATAGCAAGAACATTATAATATTCCCGTAGTTGACATCAGAGTACAAATAGATATTAAAATGCATGTGAGCGATGCAACAATTTATCAATCAATAGGCAGGGAAGAGTTGGCAATGAATGCGATTCACCCAATGATTAGTGCTAACATACATATAGACACAACAAGCCTATGAGTGTTGACCCGTGATAATTGATGAGTGCTATGACACTCCTACAATCAATAACAATCCAGTGCTGACCAAATACAATAATTTTTCACAAATAAAGATGGTCAAATTATAGCAAGTGCAACCATCTACAGACCGTCGTGGGGAACCCATCATATGCACTAAATGTCATATACAAGCAGAATGCCAAAAGACCACAAAGTGCAAGCTTGTACGACCCAAAGGCAGGAGATTAGTTAGTGCACTATGATCCGCCTACAAAAATCAACAAATAGTGCACGACAATCAACCTGTACAAAGCAGCAAACAACTGATCCAGAAGCTGCTACTCCACGCCACCGGATCCGCAACACTCGTACTAGAGGACAGAAGGCGTCTACAAATACTTTTAAAATACCTCTGCACGTGCACCATAAATTGTATACACATAGGTACACTAAAGGGGTATACAAAAATCACCCGCATGGGCCCCGGCGAGCATGTTATTGGTGCACACGTGACGCTTAGGAATGCTGCGCGGGTCGATAAGTGAGTTCTAGTTCGAACCTGATCCTTCTATACGGATCAATAGAAGTTGACAGGGTTCAAACCTTCAAATAGGTACACGGTTGTGGGGACCGATGTATTTGTTTTAATACATTCATATTAGACCTTCAAAGCCTACAATCAAAAGAATTCACTAAACAAAAGGCATAAAGCCTACGAAACCCGATCCTCCTAAGAAAGTAAATAGGAGTAGACAAGGTTCGAACCATCGGATAAATATGCGGTCACGAAGTCGACCGGAATATTTATCTTATACATTCATATTAGGCCTTCAAGACCTTCAACAAAGAAAATTCATGAGCAAAGGCATAAAGCCTACGAGAAACCCGATCCTCGGTCAACAGCTCAGCTGAGTCGATAAGGTTCAATCTAAAAATAGAAATGATCCCAAACACCCCGATGATGGCCGTGTTGAATGTAAATTTTAATCAGGGGGGTCCATTCCAAATATTTCCAAATTTAACCTCAAATATCCATTCAAAATCCAAATTCCAGAAATCCTAAAGTCCAGATATTTAAAACTGAAATCAATCCATCAATCACTCGAAGCAAAATTCATTCACCCTCCGCAACAGTTTGCCGAGGTGGATAAATTCAAATTAACTTCGGCTCACAATGAGCTAATGCCTAGTCGAAAATATCACTAGGATCCATTCTCAAACAATCTTCTATCGATAAGGACGTGGTATGTGTCTTTTAACCGGCGGTTTTGCCGCCAAATGGGACCGCAGGATAAACGGTTATGACGACCCGGGGTCCTCTGAACTGAGTGGTTTTGCCGCCAAATGGCACCACGAAATACCGGTTATGGCCAGAGCCAATACGCCCCTTATTGGCATCAAATCCTTGATATATGAATCAATAGGATATGATCGATAGAGCACAAAGTCCTCTGTTAGCTAAGGTGGATTCAAATTTGTCCTCTTAGACAAACATCCAACCCGTGTCTTCAAGGTCTCCTTGGACGAAGCAACCCATGGCTGCCGATAAGGATCCTTCTGTCAGGGTCGATTACCTCCTCTGGCTAAGTAGACCATGGACCACGATGGCCCAGGACGACGGAACCATGGGATCTTGATCGGGCCCATCATCCATTCCCCCACCATCCGCTTTAAGTGCAAGATGGTGCAATTTCTATTTTAAATATCAAATCTCCAAATCTTCCAATTCTCCAAATTCCTAAATTCTCCAACCATTCTAAATGTTCATGCTGCTACTATATGCCAAATACCACGTATTTCCATGTATCTGATTGATGACTAGCCTTAATCGAAAGTTCTCTCTCGTTGTCGGGAGGGGTAATTAACTATAGGGGCTTGCGCCTATAGGAAACCAGAACTCAGATCATAAAGTCCTCGCAAAATGAGGGCGAAATCTCTGGTAGTGTCTTATCTACAAACCCATCTTGCTTCCAAAATTTACCTCAGAACTTATTCAGTTAAAACTCCCTCGCCGAATAAAAAGAAAAGCGGGGAGGCCGAATTTTCGGAGCCCACAGGCTATATAAATAATACTATGCCGAAGTGTCCAAGTGATGTGCGACTAAATAACTAAAGTAAAATTTTCAAGTTCAAAATAAAGAAACTACATTTTCTTAACCATAAATTTAATTAATTTTTTAAGGTAAATAATATTTATTTTTAGTTAATAATATTTAGCTTTTTATCTATTTAATTATATAATATAAAAAGTCAATTTTTATCTAATTTTTTGTTATAAATGCAGTATAAATTTAATTTTATGATGTAAATATTGTATGTAATTATAGATGTAAATTATACTTAAATATGTAACTGATGGGGATCTGAGCTCCACACAGCTAAATAACAATAATGAAGAGAAAACACAACAGAAATCATCAAGACATATTTTTATATCGGCACAACAAACCAAGTTACAAGTTGATTTATTATTCGAGAGGTAGATCAACTCTTCACAAAACTTAGGTGCCACTTGGAATAACTCCAAAGAAAATTATAACAAAACACAATTCACATAATGAAAATAAAACAACTCAAGTAAACCTAATATAAACCTTCTTACTTCCCTCTCAAATCTGAATTAAAATCTGCCCTCTTTCCTTAAATATACCTTTCTTAATTACCTCCCAAATTTGAATTCAAATCAACCCTCTTTACTCAAATAAATTTTTCTAATTCCCTCCCAATTTTAGTTTTTTATGTTAAGTAACTTAAGGTAGAATTAATCCCCTTTGATCTTCTTGCATGCCACTCACCCTAGCGGGGCTAATAGGCTTAACCGGTCCATTAATACTCCCCTCTTAAAGTGCCAGCTTGTCCTCAAGGTGGAACAAAGAAAATTGCTGCTGAATCATCCAGTACATTTCCCATATTGCTTTATAGTCGGGCAAATCCTTCAACTTGATCACTTCTCTAGCTCTTACCATCGAATGCACTCCTTTTACATCCCTTGGCTCTAGAATCACTTCCATTTCTTTTGTCAAGGTCATCAACAACATCGTTAATGGATTGTGGTTTCCAATAACTTTCCCCAGGTGGAACACTGGTGTATAGTGGAAGTAGGGGATATCTGCAAACGATATGACATGGCACTAATCCTCTCCACAACCTCATAAGGCCCGTAGTACCATGGAGATAACTTTTCATTTATTCTTCGAGTTAAGGCCTTCTATCTATATGGTTGATTCATCAAATACACTTTATCACCTACCTCAAGCTGCACATCCCTTTTATGCTCGCCAGCTTGCTTCTTCATAATTTGTTGTGCTCTACATAGGTTCCCCTTTAACTCTTCCAATATCCTAGCACGTTCATCCAATTGTTGTTCCATTGATGAAACTGGAGTGCTCTTGGTCCCGTAGTATACCAGGTGAGGAGGTTCTTTGTCATAAAGGATTTTGAAGGGTTTACTTTGCACTGCTCTATGGTAGTATATACTATTCCAGTACTTGGCCCAAGGTAACCACTTCACGTAATTCTTGGGTGTTTGTGATACAAAACATCTCAATAAGTCTCCACACTCTTGTTCACCATCTTGGTTTCTCTTTAATGTTTGTTTATTTAGAACTGATGTATGTTATTATTCTTATATTATGTGGCTGTAAGAGACCAATGGTTAATCAAGAAAGCAAATTCTCTACCTCAAATTTGTACAATATCATAAAGTTTCTGTTTAATTGCTACTAAACTTTGAGAATAATCAGAATTTTACTAAATATTGAATAAATAATTGCGCTCATACAAGAGAAAATTCATTCAAATTTTTCCTTTTTGATTATTGCTTGCATTTTTACATATCCTTTTCACACTTTGACATGCTTTTCTTTCCAGGAATTGATCAGTATATTTGAGGAAAATGATGGAATTCGTGAGGAAGAGCCTTTCACAATTCTAAAACAGAAGTATAAGGAGGTTATTTTCTACTAACAACAATAATCCTTTGTTAATATCACTAGATTAGCTGGGATTACTGCGACAATCTTCTCATTTTGTTTGTTTCTTTCATATTTCTTCTGCGAAATTTCACGTATGCTTTGGAGTTTATAAAGTGTATATATATTTTGTAATGCTACCTGATTCCTCAGTTGCATTATGGCAGAACATGTTGGAATTCTTCTATTTACATGAAACATTAGGGACGACAAAATTGACCTCATATATTGTGTCAAGTGAAGAAATCTGACTTATTTATTGTGGTTCATTATACCCAACTGATCTGGTCATTAACTAAACAATTTTTGCTCTTGTCTGGGCTTCTTCGGTTCAAATCCTTTAAACAAACCATAAAAGGGAAAAGCCTCTTGTGCAATTGCCAGGCTTATATTGGCTCTAGTTGTGGCTGTTGTATCTTAATAGAATACTGGTCATGAACTCTAGAAGAGATCCGTGATTCTATCTGCCTTCAATTGTGCATTATTTTATGCTAATTTAGGGGCTATTTGATTTGTTGTAAAAGGTGTGTAAAGTATTCCAAATGTCGGGGTTTTGAAAATATTGATATTTGGTTTGAAATAAAAGGAATGCAAAGTAAAATTTTGAAGTAAAAGGAATTCACAATCTAGTTCAAATCTAATGTATTTGGAATTCCTCCTATTTGGATGATTTTGAAATACACCGAAAACTTTCCGCGACAATCTTCTCATTTTGTTTGTTTCTTTCATATTTCTTCTATGAAGTTTCATATGTGCGTTGAAGTTTATAAAGTGTGTGTATATATATTTTGTTTGTGCATATATCTGTAACGCTGCCTGATTCCTCAGTTGCATAATGGCAAAACATGTTGGAATTCTTCTACTAACATGAAACTTTAGGAACCACAAACTTGACCTCATATATTGTGTCAAGTAAAAAAATCTGACTTATTTGTGTGGATCTCTATACCCGATTGATCTGGTCATTAACTAAACAATTTTTGCTTGTCTGGAGTTCTTAAGTTCAAATCCTTTAAACAAACCATAAAATGGAAAAGCCTCTATGCACTTGCCAAGCTTATATTGGCTCTAGTTGTGGTTGTTGTGCCTTCCTAGAATAATGTTCATGAACTCTAGAAGAGATCCTTGATTCTATCCACCTTCAATTGTGCATTATTTTATGCTAATTTAGAGGTTGTTTGGTTTGCTGTTAAAAAGTGTAAAGTATTTTAAATACAAAGGTTTTAGAAATATTGGTGTTTGGTTTGAAATATAAAGGGATGCAGGATAAAATTTTGAAGTAAAAGAAATTCACCATCTTCAAATCTAGTGTATTTGAAATTCCTCTAATTTGATTGACTTTCAAGTACACCGGTCACCTTCATTACCCCCCCCCCCCCCCCCAAAAAAAAAAAAAAAAAAACCAAACCACACCCCCCCTCCCCCTCCACCCTCTGCCAGCCACTGTCAGTTTCCACCAATCACCACAATTTTGAACTTTGCACTGCATTCAATTTACTTCAAACCAAATTAAAAAAAGAGTAAAAACTTGCATTTATTTTGTACATATCCAAACAACTCCAAAGCATTTCAAATACAATGCATTCTTTTTTCAGCCAACCAAACAATCCCTTAATATTCTTTTTTGTTTTCTTAGGCTTGTAGCATCCTGTGCATGATGGATAACCACTCTTCTCTTTACCATTAAGTTATATTAAATGGATGCGCCAGAGCAAGGTTAGTGATGTAGGCAAGGGGGGGGGGGGGGGGGGGGGGGGGGTCAAAACAAGTTGAGTTGAAATTTTTGTAAGTTATACTAGAATCAGCTCATTAATGAGCCTATTCTACTTATTTAACTCAATAATTGGTGGAATAAATTCACTTCCTAGATCATAAAATCAAAAAGGTATTCTCATTATTGTGGATTGGACTTGTGTACCTTCCCTTCCCCTTTGCCTTCTCAGTTTTTCCCTGGCTGTTGCTGTTCCCGTGACTTCTCCATCTCGATTTTCCCCTAGCTGTTTTCCCGTGAGTCTCTGCCCCGTTTCCTGTGCTGGCTCCTCAGGTCCCTTGCTGGTTGGGCTTTCCATGGCTTTGCTGGCTGGCTTTCAGTAGCTTTTTCTCCTTGTTTTCTGTGCAGTTGTCTTTTTGCTTCCAAGAATTGGGCTTTCTCCTAATTTTTGCTCGCATCAAATTGGTATCAGAGCTTTGGTTGGTGTCTTTCTAGGTTTTGTGTCTTTGTTTTATGTGTTTAAATTTTGAAAATAAAAAACAGCCAAGTAATCCAGGTGACAATCTTCCAACAACAAAAGGGATTCCTCATCATGCAGATTCTTCAGATCCTCTATAGTTTGAGCTTTTAATGATTCAAGAACAACTGCAATTATGTGACGAGAGATTCGAATCTAAGAAGCGTTCACTTCTAGCAGAATTTGAACGAGAAATGGAAGCTATCAAACGAAAGTATGACATTCTAATTCAAGAGTCTGAAATGTCGGATCTCCAAAATTTTGAAGACAACTCATCTGGAGATGAGCTTTTTCAACCGGAGGAGAATTTGATGTAGGCAAGGGGGGGGGGTCAAAATAAGTTGAGTTGAAATTTTTGTAAGTTCTACTAGAATCAACTCATTAATTAGCCTCTTCAAATTATTTAGCTCAATAATTGGTGGAATAAATTCACTTCATAGCTCATAAAATCTAAAAGGTATTCTCATTATTGTGGATTGGACTTGTGTCTCTTCCCTTCCCCTTTGCCTTCTCGGTTTTCCCATGGCTATTGCTGTTCCCGTGACTTCTCCATCTTGGTTTTCCCCTGGCTGTTTTCCTGTGAGTCTCTGCCCCGTTTTCTGTGCTAGCTCCTCGGGTCCCTTACTGGCTGGGCTTTCTGTGGCTTTGCTGGTTGGGTTTCCCGTAGCTTTTTCTCCCTGTTTTCTGTGCAGTTTTTGTGGGATGTTGTGGTGTCTTTTGGCCTTTCATTTCCCTAAAATTGATTGGAGGTGTTGTGGTTGTTTAGCTTCTTCCTTTTGCCTATAAATTAGAGATGTTTTGAGATGGAAAAAAGGATGATATGTGAATGATTTTTGGAGCCTAAACCTGCGGGTTTCGTCGTGGAAAAGCTTGAGAGCTTGCTCCATTTCCTCTCCTCTCTTAAGAAAGCTTGCGAGCTTCTCCTCCTTCGTCTCAGCTTCTTATCTCATTCGTCTCTCCGCAAGTTCGACGTCACTTGTATCCTTCTTCTCAAGGCAAAGCAAGTTTAGGTGTTTAAGGTGTCTTTATTTTCTAAGTTTGTAAGCGTCGTTTGTAATCGTCCCTTTATATTATAAAAAGGTGTCTTTTTTAGTATTTTGTGTTATTTTTTTATCCTAGGAAGAGTTGTCTTTTTGCTTGCAAGAATTAGGCTTTCTCCTAATTCTTGCTCGCATCAGTTAGTGTTTCTTATTTTGCAGGCTGATGTACGCACAAACCACACATTAGAAACCGGAAAACTGGACACTACTTTCATGACTTAATCATTCCCTAAAAGCTAAATTTAACTTATAAATGTGTGAAGAGGGGGGGGGGAATTGGATTGTTATTGTTTAAAACAATTATTTACTTGATATGGTAAGGTGTTGATGGTGAATCAAGTGTTTGAATTTGTGCATTTTAGTCTTTTAGCAATGTGAAGCACAACCTACGAAAGTGAGCAAGTAAGAAATAAATCAGTTTTACATAGAGGATTGTTTGTCTCTTGCTATTTCTTTTCATCTCCTAGCAATATCGAGTGTTTTTATTGTGTTTTCATTCATTAAAAATTTAAAACCTAAAATTAATCAGTAGATTTTCTATTTCAGCAATTATTTTCCTTTTTTCCTATTGTTTAATATCACCTTGCTACTAGCCTTGGCGTCCTTGTTGCTCTCTTTTTATTTTCACTCAGTTTTACACTATGATGCACCGACACTTCTCCTCAAAGAGGCGTGCAGTGTCCGACACGACACTCGTCCGACACTCCTCCGACACGCGTTGGACACGCCGAAAACGTGTCCTATTAAAAAAAATTAAAAATAAATTGGACGGACACGCGTATCTTAAATATTTTATAATTTTTTTAAAATATAATTTCTTATATTTTGCGAATTTAAACTAAATTTCTTATTTCATATCCACAACACCAAATCAACGACTGCATTTAATACCCATTCATCGAATATTTTCATTTTCATTTCTCTTTGGCAGTAAAGGTATTTTCATCTCCTCTCTTTTTGCACAATTACAAATCTTTCTCTTGTTGAAACAGAGTTGAAAGTAGTGATATTCAATGATGATGATATTGAAGGCCAAAAACAAACCTCTAAAGCTAATCCTAATAGTTGAAGCTTGAATGCTTGATGTTGTAGTAAGTTATTATTTGCTTATATTTTTGTGGTTGTACTAGATATTTTATATTATAAGCTAGACAAGTTATCATGTCATTCATTTATTATTATTTGTCATTTTTAATATGATATTGCATTAATATATATACACTATATAAAAAAATGTATTGTCGTGTCCGCGCCGTACCCGTGTCTTATATTTTAAAAAAAAGCCGTGTCCCGTGTCCGTGTCGTGTCCGTGTCGCCGTGTCCGTGTTCGTGCATCATAGGTTTTACATAACATCCCCAAAAGAGTAGTGCTGGTTTGGGTTTTTTTGTGATTTCAATTCAATACTGAAATTGAATTAGTTTAATTTGAGTTACTCTTACATGGATCATAGATAACTTTAGCCAGAAGTTCATTTTATTCTATTTTCTTTCGAAACATCTCCATTCAATTTAGCAACTCATTTAACGTTCATGCATTAATTAATAAATTATACACTTTAAATATGCGATTTTGATAAATGTGCAGGTATAATGAAATTTTATGTTGATCAAATAGTTGATGATTTTATTTAATTTTAATTTTATTTTGTTTACAAAAATATTTGGTCTAGAAACATAAGTAAATCAAAATATATTGTGGTTTTTTTTAAATTTTGATGTGCAATTATAACTATGTTTATATTTGATATTATGGTGTGTTTATGCTATTAACTTCTCACATATATTTAGTTGTGCTGATCTGCTCTATTCCTTATTGTAGAAAAAAATTAACAGGAAGAAGAAAAAAATAGTTCCCTGGTATTTATTTTACAAACACCAAATAGTTTTGAGCAATTAGAAAACATTGCATTTTCAAAATGCATGAGTTTAGAATACTTGCAAACAAAATACCCCTAACCAATATATGGCTCATGGGTTCACACCGTCTTCAAGAAAAAAAAAAGAACAACAAAAACATCATCATCAAGCCTTTATCATGCTACGTAGGGTTGGCTACATTAATCCTTTTTTATCCATTGTGTTATGTTAAGGTTCAAATTTTCATTTAAATCTGATTAAAAAAAGTTATTTCTTATCTAAACAAGTCTTTTTAGATCTATTTCTACCTTTCTTAAGATCTGCCAAATCTAATACATCCACTCTCCTAAACGGGTCATCGGAAGGCCGACGTGTTATGTGACCAAACCATCCAAGTTCACGGTCTCTAATCTTATCTGCCACTTGAACCATGGATTAAAAAGGCATTCGAGGAGGACGCTTCGAGGCGTGCTTCGAATTGAGGCAGAGGTCGGGCGAACTGAGGCTTAAGCCTCGAACGTTCGAGCGAGGCTTACACCTTTTTCCACGGAGACGTACGCCTCAAGGCATGAGGCGCTGAGGCGTCTCGAGGAAGCACCTCGAAAAGGAGAAATTTACCTTCAAAGCCAGCGAGCTCCCGTTGTTTCTTTTGATCAAAATGTCATAACTTACGATCTGATAGGAAGGGAAAGTCGTCGAAGGAGCGAAGTTGGATAGCCACGAAGGAGCCAAAGAAGTGACGTGTGCAATCTCTTCACCTCCTGTGAAGCAACGAAGCCGAATAGCAAGGACGAAAAGAGAAGATGAAAGGCAAACCATAGACATGACCAAGTTATTATTGATTAACTTAGTTAATATAATTTAAAATATTAATAATTAAACAAATTAAATAAATAATTAATAGTATAATTAGTGCATAAATTAATTATCTAATTTAACGTAATTGACTAATTAGTAATATAATTATTAATTAAATATTAATATAACTAGCCTAATTAATATAAATTAAATGTAAATTACATATTTTGATTTTTTTTTCCTTTTTAGATATAAACATCAACGATATTCTTTCAAGTTCATAATTGACTTAATATTTTGTCATTTTTTATCATTATTTATAATTTTACATTAGCTTATTTTTACCATTTTGAGGCTTACGCCTCGATCCGTCTCGAGGCTTACGCCTCGTCTCGCTTAGACAAAACGCCTCGATTCCCGATTTCTCCTTTTAAAACATTTTGGAGCTACTTCAACCTTTTCATGTATATACTCATATTCAAGAAAACAAAAATGAACAAAGCAACAAAAAATGAGAACTTGGTTATTCAGGGGTAAGATTGGTTCTAATGAAGTTGTACACTTGAAATTTATGGTTGCTACCTTTGAGTAGTGTTTTAAGGCATAATGTTCTGAATAAGGGTTGCTTTTAGCTTCAATGAGCAAAGAGCAAACGGAATTAATAATTTTAATATATAATAATAATAATAATAACTAGCCAAAGTAAAATCCATTAGATAGTAATTTTTAGCAAATATATGATGTATTTAGTAGCTGTAATTTCCAACTTTTCAAAAGAAAAAGAAAATGGATGATAGAAAGAATCATACATGTCAATGGCACAAAATGACACATGTCATGGCACATAGCAAGACGCGGCGCACATACGTCATTATTTGTTGGCACAACACATCATGTTTGTTAACATGCTATAAATTATAATTTTTAATTAAAATTTTTAAAGTTTATATATTAATATCATAATTAAGTATTAATTAATTAAACATTAAAATAATAAAATATCAAAAAATCAAAGGATTTAATTTTTTGTAGGATTTAAAGATGTAATATTTGCTATTTGGCATGATTTTGGTAAATTTATGCTTAAATCTTGCTCAAATCATTTGATGTAGTTTTATGTAGGATTTAAAGTTGTCATCTTTCCTACTTGGGGAAGATATTTATACTTAATTTTTTTCTCAAATCTACCATTGTTTATTATTTAATGGTATTATATATATATACACGTCATTGCTCAACGGGAAACTTTGCACTGTGGTGCATCATTCGTCGTTGACAAATATGGAAAGAATGAAGTGTTTAGATAATATATATAATTCAATAATACTTGTGAGATTTAGATTCTAATTTATTATAGATGAAGGCAACTTGAAACTAGAAAGTCTATGAAGATAAGACATTGAAATATGTACAGAGCATTCTTGAGAAGAAGCATACGAATGAGAAGCTACCAACACCAATAGTAAGAACTCTTGAGAAGTGTATAAAAACTGATAGGTGAATGATCGTGATGAAATTAGTTCTAATAGGCGACAATTGAGAACCAACGAGCAACAAATCAACAACTTTGAGAATTAGCGAGAAGCGAATGCTCATGCTTTAGTTATTATGGAAAATGTTGAATCAAATCCTGAAATATGAATTAGGATTTCATTATGAGTCAGAGCTAACTGTGCAACTTTACAATGCTTCACGACAAAGGGTGCTATATGTGCACGTTGCTTTAAGCTTGCACTTTGCAGACCAGCAATATGCAGAGCTAGTGCATCACTTCGCTTTGCTCATAAAGCATAGTTTTATAGGATTGCCATTGGAATGATTCATTTTTATTTTAGTTTGTAGATGAATCATGCATTAGATATTTTTAAGTGCCCTTATATGTTCCCAAAATTTTTTGAGAAATTTTTATGACTCCACTTAATTTGTTTTTTTTTTTGTTGTGGGAAAAAAAAAAGATTTAGGCTTTTGGGTAAATACATCTCCAAAATTTCATAGGTTCATAAAAAACGTCCTTTGACCTAATTAACTAATAATTTGATTATTTAAAATTTTAATTACCTTCTCAGAGCAATAAGCTTCATCAAAATCAACAGCTATTGCATGCCAACTAGCTCCCAATCGCAGCATCATTTATCTGCCGGCTTCAGCGAGTTTGCCAAATGTGGTTTTGATTTATTTTTATTTTGTTAAATAAATTTATTAGAACTGAATTTTAATGCTTGCTTTTTCAGAAACCCATGCATCACTTCCTGAGTTAATAATACCTGGGTTATCGTAAACCCACACAAACATGCTTGGATTTCAAGAACAACCTGGCTATAATGCCTGGGTTGCATGGAACCTGTAATACAGCGATGCCTTGATTTTTTCCATCTTAATTGTTGTCGATTAAAAAACTGTGAACCATTATACTTGTTTGAAAAACAAAGAAAATTTGGGAATGATTTTATTAGAAGATTAAATATTTTGTCCTTCTTCACTAAGATTTCTCAGCTAATTTCATTATGATTATTGTTTTCTATTTGATTTATATGAGATATTCCATTATTATGAGAACTGTTCAAAATTGATTTCGTTTGTGCAGATTGCACCGGAAAGGTCTCTTGAAGGTAATGGCAATGCAGCAGCTATAGCATTTTTGGGTGCAGCCTAAAGATTCGAGGTCATGGAGTGATAATGAGTTCTCCTTTTGCGTTCAGTCCTGTGAGAAGTCCTTCCCCGAGTTCTCATTTTATATTCATTAAAATCTTCAATCTTACTTTTGGTTAGTGATTTTATTTTTTCTCTCTTGTTTTACAGACTTTATGAATATAAAGTTTTGTTATTTCTGCATTTTCATAAATAAGGTAGTTAATGCTTAAGATTTGATTTTAGGCTGAAAACCAATTGCAAAATTTACGCCAAAAGTGGTGAAAAGAAATTGGGATTAAGCTTAATGATGATGATGAAGGCCGGAGGTTTCTATTATCTGTATGCCCTAGAAAGGGCATGCTTGATGCTGCCAATCTCCTTTGTTTTGGTCCTATAAGGAGATTTCATGGACGGAATTTTCTGTGTGGTGCTATGAAAGATATGGTTTTCATTAACGTATTAATATATCAAGAATATTTGGGAAGTTTCTGTGTGACAACTAGCATATTCATTCGGCTGGTGACCTCCATAGGTACAACTAAAGCTTGTGTGGAGTCAGACTGTTTTCACTTGGAATTTTATTGATTTATGAATTATGACTTGTGATTCTTTTTTGTAAGCCACTTGACAACTTTTGCATGGTGATGTATGGAATGTCATCTAAGTTGATTTTTGTGCTTTTTATAACGGTTTTTTTTTTTTTCTGATGCTACCAAGTTCATGTAAAGCACACACTAGATTGTTTTTTGTGCTCATCTAATTTTTATGGCTTTTTCTAGTATTTTGATAATTAATTTTATGGCGCACTTTATTACTAAGTTTTTGGAAAATATTTGCACTGCAGGAGTTTTTGATGAACTTTCCTTTCCTATATCAATTGGTTTATTGAATTTAAATTCCTTACACAACTCTCCTTGGCCTAATCAATGATCTTTACATTTTGGTTTGTGTGGAAAAAGTTATTATATGAGATATATATATATATATATATATATATATATATTCAAGTTTAGGCTCCTACCCACATAATTATTATGCTTGAATACAATTATACAAAAATTATCTTAAGTTTTCTTGTGCATTCCATCATGTGCTTTATTTAGTGAGAGGACATTATAAATGCTTTAGAGAAATGTAATCTCCTTGTTTTCATTATGAGCATTACGCTTTATTATTTCTTCATCATGTCCTGTATTCTAATTTTTTGTGTTGCTTCTGACCACTTAATTCATAATATGCATTTTGATTTATTGTGAGTGAAAAAGGTATCTATTTAATTGCATCATATTCTCACAGACAAAATTCGGCTTTGGCTTTTTGGGAATAGTTCTTAGATGTGCACAGAATCAATGCTGTTATGGTAGCAGAGATTTGTTTTTGGATTGTTTGCAAAAGTTGCTATTAGATGAACAGTACTAATTCCTTATTCTTTTCTTCTTTGTTTCTTTTGTAGTTTTTTTTTTTCTTCCTTCAAATTTTTGCCCTTTTCCATGGAAAGTTTTCCTGGCTGGTAAGCTAACCCTAATTCAATCATCTCTAAAAAAGTAAATAATAGATAAAATATCAATGTACAAAATCACAATTTTATTTAGGTTCATTTAGTTGGTATTTATATCTTATTGTTGTTATTGTAGATTCCATCATAATTTTATTATGGAGAATTAGAAGCTTGATTTTTTCTTATAAATTTTAAAAAATGCCCCCCCTTCTTTATTAAAAAATTATAGGTTATGACTCAAGGGTCTATTTGGCACAATTTTTGTACTACTTTGCTTGTCACATAACAATCACAATTTCATTTGGCAATTATGTTTCTGCTGCTTTTAAAAAACTTGTGGTGGAAAGTTGCTCGTTACAACTGGTGTTGCTAAGTTGTTTTCCTCACAGTAATTTCACAACTAATTTTATAAATAGCTTTAGCCATTTCAAATAGATCCTAAGTTTGCATACATGTTTTCTTTGTAGGATGGAATAGGCACCACAATTTCCCATTTCCTGTATCTGAAACCATTTCAAGAAAACTTAGTAGCTTATGTTCACTCTAAATTCTTCCATTGTTTGATTATGCAAACAGCCAAATAGTCCTCATTCATTGCACAAAGAAACCTTTCTTGGACTGATTGAAACATATGCAAACAAAAAGTTCTTAGCTTTCTCTCTTTTCTTTCTGAAGAATTGCTTCTTTGTGAATTAATTAAGGTGATAAGAATCTATAATCTTCATTCTTCAAATAATGTATGTGAATATATTCTAGAACTGTATTCCTGACTTGTAATCGTTTATTTGAATATACTTATGGAGGTATTGTTTTATTTGTCCTTGATGATAGTTACTTTTGTGAGAATTGCACCTCTTTTGTATCCTTCTTGTTGTTTATAGTTCATTAATTATAGCTTGCAATTGTGGTTTCTTTTCACAGCTTATAGGATTATTTATAGCAATTCAAAGCATTTTTATCATTTACTTTGTTCTCTACCATAGGCTGAAATAACAAATCGATATAAAACAGCACAAACAACACACACTAAGAACTAGGGGTGTCAATTTAGGTCACGGGTCGGATCAGGTCAAACTCGAAATTGATCCGGCACTATTCGGATCAACACGAACCCGAACCGTTTATGCAAACGGGTCGGTTTTTTGGGCCCAAACCCGACCCGCTTCAGGTCCGGATCAACCTAATACGACCTAAATGACTCGCGAACATGAAAAAGTTGCTAGTTTTCAAGTCAAAAAATGGGTCAAACTCCGCTTTTTGGGGCTAAGAGAAGTCAATCTCGATTTTTCGGGTCAAAGGGTTAACCCGACCCGGTTTTGAAACTGGTCAAATTGTTGAACCCGACTCATTTTGGGTTCGGGCTGACCTAACCCGGAATTTTTGGGTCAGGTTCGAGTCGAGTTTTCGAGTCGTGTCAAATATTGACACCCCTATTGAGAACACCCCCACAGCCTTATATGTTAGTGCAACTTTTTAATGTAGTTAAATGTTCTATATCCCTTTAGGCAATTCAAATTGAGAACAAATTTGCTTTGGTGTGTTTTGTAGTGAGCTTTGCTTTAGGCGGCTTCACTTCAGTTGTTAAGTTCTATGGAGGAGTATATGTTTTCTTCTAGTGATTTTAGCTTTAAGAATGGTACATTTTGGCAATTTAATGAGAATATTCTTTTGGGTAAGTTAAAACTTTTGGCAAATTGGTTCTAGTGTGGGTGAATTATTGAATCTGAGTTCAAGTTGACAAATTGGATCAAGCTTGAATTTGTATGTCAAGATAAAGTTATTTTCTATATCATCCTCTTCAAAACTTTGCTCTTTCAAAATGTCAGACTCATCGAATACAACATGTGTGGTCTCCTCAATTATCAAAGTTCTTTTGTTAAATATTCTATACAATTTTCCATCATTAGAGTATCCAAGAAAATTTTCTTCATCTGATTTTGGATCAAATTTTCTTAAAGAAGATTTTTCATTATTATGTATAAACACCTTACATCCAAAAACATACAAATGTAATAAATTAGGTGTTATCACCTTAAGAAGCTCATAGTGTATTTTATTCAATTTAGACTTTATGTTCACCCTATTTAGAACATAACATGCAGTACTAACCGCTTCAACCAAAAAATATTTAGGAAATAAATATTCTGCCAACAAGGCTCTAACGGCTTCAATTAAGAAGCACATCATGACTTAAAATAAGCCGGCAATGTGATTAGTTCTAGTTAGCTCGTCTGCCAGTAAGATCAAGCGTCAAAATGCAAAATTATGTTATTTATTAATTATTGAGTAAAATACTATTATGAATTTTCAGGTGTTGAGATATCAAGAGGATTAACATGATTTGAATTGAAAATTAATAAAATCAAATAAAGTATAATTGAAAATTTTAGAACAAATTGTATTGGTTGATCAGAGATTGTACTATACAATTAGTTTTGATTTCAAAAGTAACAAGACAAGCAAATTGATTATTTAAGAGATGAAAACTATTGTTAGGATCATATTGTATGATATATATTGTCGTATATGATATGTCTTCATATTAAAATAAATTAACATGATGAATTTTCTTTAATTATAATGTTTAAACTTTGAATTAATTATATGTTACGGTGATATGCTTTATAATTTGGATTGAATATGCATAATTGATTTGTATGTATTATACTTTGAATTTCTAATGTAAATTTAATTAAAACAAACCTTTTTTTTTTTCCATTTTAGAGTTTTGAGTTCTCTCTTTCTTCTGTTCTAGATTGTTGTTCTCATCTTCCTTTTAGGGGTGGCTGCCACTATTGAATAGTCTAAAAGCCTTTGTGAGTTTTGTGAGTTCAAGTTCAAAGTTTTCTTCTTATGTGATGAGTAATATTGTGATGTTCATTGACAACAAGTCTTATGATATGAAGAATAAGAATTTTACTGTTTTGGCCAGCGAGTTCTCCCAAGTCATTTTTTGCTTTTAATTAGAGAGTAGTTTCATCTAGATCTATGAGTTCCTTTCTATGAGATTTTGTTAAAAAAATATTGTATTTTACTCGCTCTCTTGCTCAAGTTCAATGTCTTGAAGAATTAGATTAAGGATTCTTAAGAAACAATTAAAAGAAATAAAGTATTTAAAGAGTGAAGTTGGAAAGTTTATTAAATTTCTTTGAGGAATAGAAGGGTGGGATCTGTATGGCTAAATATCTCAGGAGCTTGATTCAAAACTAAACTGAATCAGTTCAAATTTATGATGTAATTTCTATGTTCATCTATATTTTGCATACGGGTCCTGACCTGCTTCGGGATCGAGTCAATTCAAATCCGAAATTTTTGGGTCGGATTTTTGGGTCAGGTCCAATATTGATAGATCTACAGTTAAGTAGGCAACTTCCTCCCAGCAACTTGGAAACTTCCTTTAGAAATGGCAACTTCTTTCAGTAAGTTGAAAGATCTCATATTTGTTAGCCTAATAGCTAAGCAAATGATCCGTTCGAGTTCCTAATGTTAAGTCATATAAGATCAGGCAACAGTTCTTGTAAATCTGACATTGGTTAGGCTAAATCTTTCTTATTTCTTATTTCAAATATTTATTTTGGAGGAGATTGAGAATAGCTTTTTGTTTAACTTCGACTTTGACCATTAGTTTTGGGATGATGCATTGAGGTAAACTTAGGAAAACTTCTCTAGTTTTGTTTTTTTATTTAAAAAAATTGGTTCTCTTATAGAGATATTATTATGTGCGTAGTCCGGATGCATTTGTAGGCCAATCTGGAAGCCTCACGTCACCCAATACATTGTGTATTGGGTGATATGGCGCATCCGAATTAGTCTCCGGATGTGTTCGAACACCGCACGTAATAATTTTTCCGACAAATGACATCTAAAGTTGTGGATAGCTACTATATTAATTATGACCAAAAATTTTTACGTCAAGCCAGTTGATAAAATAGCCGATCATTTCTATCCAATTACTTGAGGAAAAGAGAGAAGTAAATCCATTCCCTAGGTTATAAAGGGACATAAAATTGAAATAAAGTGTAATTTTTATGAAGAATACAGTAAAGTATTTACAATTAGTTAAAAATAATTATTTGTGCAATTTAGAGAATTATTTGATTTTTTTTCTTAAAATTAATTAAAAAAAATAGTCTTTCCTCAAAATTCTGTTGGCTAATATTCTTCCCCCTTTAAGATTTCAATAGTTTTAGTTTCTCGTGTAGATCATATTATTTTTTATTTGATCCTTTATATTTCTCATTCACCTAATTTATAGTAAGATATGAGTCATCATAGGTGAT